GTATTCACCTTGGACAAAAATCACGAAATATATTCATACAATATCTCGTGCCACTACTTTAACCTGTGTTGCATGTATTGGCCGTTATCTACACCCTTTGAAGAAATCCGTAGTAACGTCTACCATTAATATCATTATTTATTAGTGAACCACCTAACTCAAGCATTTACTTGGTCAATTATATCTATATATGGTGAGGAATATTGGAGCAAGAGCTAGGCGAAAGAGAGAACTTTCATCCTTGAGGAGTCCAGTGACTGAGCAAACGAAGAGTGGGAGTGTTTTTACTTTACGCACATTAACTCGAAGTCCATTTCAAATAACTGCAAAATCGTATCTAAGGATTTTGTCTAATAATGCTGTATGACAACCCGATCGTTACCATTTTTAAGATCGTAGTCGATTCCGGGGATAAATTTTAACCTTGACCAATAGAGGTGTTTAAAAAGGTTTGTCATCTTGGAATAAAAAATTAGTTCAGGTCTTGCCATCATTTCTAGAGTGGTTCTATATGCAGCCCACTGCAATACTCAGTGTATTCAAGGACTCACTCTGAGCTAAAAGCTTCTGAAGTAAGGTGTCCCCACAGTGACTCTAATTGAAGTTTGTTATTCGGTTGGAGTCCCCTGAGAACAAACAGGCAGTACCAAACAATAGGGCGATTGCACACTTCATGCAATGCTTTTGTTCCACAAAATAGAAAAATGAAAGTGATGCTAGTCAGGAACCTATTTGTTTTACATTCACTATAATCAATGTGTTCAGAGAAGAATAAACTGTCAAGATACCCGTATGAGCGAAGCTTGGGCGGATTTTGGCCATCTGCTTCACAATTCATATCGAATTCCCTCTTGTCAATGCAAACAAACCATATTTCTGGGCGTTTAACTCCTGATAGGATTTAGCCCATAGAAATGCTACATCGCCTGGTTCAAGACGATCACTACTGATCAGTCCATGTAAATCATAGCTATAGCAGGGATTAACGACTTTACGATTGTCGGCATATAAGAACAATTTACCTGGGGTTAATTTGCTACAAATAATGTTTAGCTTGACTGTAGACAGGTGTTTGCCTAGTAAAGCTATCCTGCATTACCGAATTTATGACTTGCCCAGGATGAAGAAACACCGGTTTATTTTCAGTTACTAGCACCCCAATGCATAAAAATGGCTTTGAGTGCTTATCGAATGGAATACGAAATCCATAGGAATGCAGCATGACAATGAGAGTACTTCGAGATACCATTTCAGTTGCCCTCGATATATTGAATCGGAGAACAGTGACAAGGTTGCATGCTTTGTGACGACCACCAATTCAGTTGAGAAAGCCAGAGCGGCAGGTAGCTTATTTTTTGAGAAATCCTCATCGAGAATTCGTAACAAGGTCACCATTAAGTACATAATCTGAAAAGTGATCCTAGCAATTTTCCCCATGTTGGGATCATCACACGAAATAAAGAATTTTATCTTGTCATTATATGACTATACCTTGGTCCGACCTCAATATTATATGATAATCTGTCGGAGGCCACTCACAAATAATAGCCGGTATTATACACAAACGCAGGACAGTAGAATGAAGAGACATAAAACGGGGTGATGCACTTTCTACCAGCCTAGCAGGAAAATTTCTGTAAGTATAAGCTCCATATCATTGGCCTGTGTAAAAAGCGGAATCAGAAAAATTCACTGTATCAAGAAGACAGCTCTCCTTAACTCAGAATGCTACGTTAGGCATATAATTACCCACTCGATTTCAACGCAAGCGGTATTAAAAACACAGATGGTTAGTCTAAGATTTATTGATCAACCGAGTAAAAGCTTATGTAGCAGGTTAATTTCACAGCAGCCTCACCATGTGATTTACAAATGGTTTCTATCAGTATACTAAAAAATGTCTACAAGTAAAATCAAGCGGTTTATCAGTCTTGACTTAACGGAGATACCAACGCATGTCTAGGTCAGTATAATGTGACGGCACAAATGTCACAGCTAGATATAAGGGTTCTAGGGAATGACCCGAGGATCATCAGAAAAATGGAAAGACACAATTTGAAGATTGTTATTTAAGAAGTATGTTTTGCCCTAGTAGGCAAGATGTAGACGGAAATGTCTAGCCCGAAACGCTTCACCTATTTACTGCGTCAATGGTGTTTAAACGTCCACAATGGTGGACCAATGGAACCTGTCATATTGAAGATAGAATGATTCTCTGTGAAGAGACGTCAGAAAACCCACTTTGTACCAAATGACAACTTGTAGTATGCTTAATAGTAATTTTTCGGATAATTTTCAAAATGAATAAGAATTCACCTCATAATCTAACAGTACATTGTACTATCAGAGGAAGAGCAGATACATTACGAGGGACTAACAGTTTGCTCGGGTGTCTTGTTCACTTTCTTCTTTTCAGTGATATTCAGAGAAGTTTTGCGCAATACTACAGTGCTCTTGAGACACAGTTAGTCCGTGACACACCGACAGGTTTTATAGGTAGCTTTCATAAGGTTATAGATGCGTGAGTAGTGTTTCAAATACCGTCACTATAAGGAAACGCACTTATGTGTTCTGATGAAGTTGCTTATACAGAGAACAACCATACATACATCTGAAACATTATAACCCCCTTCACGCCAAGCACAATTAGTAATCGTGGCAAGATGAACTGAGATATTTGCTAGATCGGGGTAAATACCCATCGGGACATTAAAGGGAAAACAACAAAAGTTCAGAAAAGACATATTTTCAGCGATTTCATTCTCAATAGCGGTACAAACATGTACATTAATTTACATGGATACAATTATTATTTATTTAATTTCACGTAGTTACGAAGGAGATGATATTTTTCAATTTGATATGAAAGTCTGAAGGTACGAATATAGATTACAAGGGGCTTAGAGACAAAATTGCATAGGATTAGAAACAGTTACAACGTCTGCAGAATTATTATTCGGTAACTGGAGAAACAATTTTTAAGGTAAATAAAGGTGACAATTATTTTAAACTTGATATGAATAGCAAGAGGCTTAGAAACAAAAGTTACGCAGGGATGAAACGAATTACAGGTGTGAGCATGGAAACAAATTGAAATCAAAACTTTTAACTTGAAGTGTAAGTTAGGAGGTGTGAATATAGATACAAGAGGCATAGAAACAAAAAATCACACAGGATAAGAATATAACTGTAGAATGGTTATTCTAAACGGATAACAAGTGTGATCCGGAGGAGCATGGAAACAAACGTAAAGTAACTGATTTTATAACTGAATAAAATGGGATGAATTGAATAAAGACAAACAGAGAAAATTACACACAGAGAAGAAAAGCAAAATAAACTGAAAAATAAGGGAACATATCGAACTAGGTCCACGGTAGTTGTAAAGGTTGGACTAGTTTCTTTTGATCAAATAGCTCCGTCTTTTCGATGCATATGGGGAGAGCTTCCACAGTAGAAAGAAGTTAGAAACACACTGCCTTTGGTAGATTTTTGTTTACTTTGTGAATGACTATGAGTTATGAGTCAGTTGAGATGTTGTGACAGGTATTGGTGAGGTGTTCAGTTATTGTGCTTCTGATTGAACCAGTGCCTCCACTCTGTAGCCATGCTGGATGAAGTTCTCTAACACGTTTTGATAAAACCCCGCACAGAACGACCTATGTACCTAGCACCGCAATAGCAGGTGAACTGATATATGCACATTAAAGTGGTCATATGTGGAAGTCCGCCCTTTGCTAGAGGCTGTGTGTCCAGCGAATACCTTGCAGGCAGCACACCTTTAGTGTTTTGTCTTGGGCCTTCACTACACCTTTTTTCGAAACCCTCTACCAAGTAGTGTAAAAATCCGTAGGTGACGCGTATTCTGGAGGTACGAGTTTTGGTATTAGAAATCAATATTCCGATTGCACTATACTTAAGGGACACTTTTCACTCTTCATTCTAGTTTCGATTATATAGAAAAGTAGGGGGAATTAACAAATGTGGTATTGTGTAATGCTATATTAACTTGTATGTTGGATACATCATGTGAACACAGCGTTATTAACGAACCGAATGTAATTTATTGTCCCCAGTAATATCAACTTTGATGTTGATTTGATTATGAACAATAAAAACATCACACGGGTAATAATAACACTTCACTGCATACATCCAATAAGGAAATAAACACACTTGCCTACTGCCTGTTGGGTTGAGTTAGAGTCCGACAAAAGATCCACAATTGTATGGGAACATAATATTGTCAAACAGCTTCAACCTGCTCATCAAAAAGATATTATATGCTTCACATCACAGTTATTTGAAGCAAAGTCTAAGTGAATACAATTTGCTTAAACACAAAGTCGGAAAGTAAATGAATAATCGTGATAACTCATAAAGCCGGAGATAGCTGACATAACGCAGTGGGTAACCAAATTTACACAATTTTTGCTGCAGCAGTAAAGACCTAAACCCGCTGAATTAATAAAATTAAAAATTTAAACTTGTATTAAGTCCGATCGTGTCTCAACAACAAGAATGGAAAATTTTGAATTGTGATTAAGACCATTTGTTTTTGTTCTTCAATTGATAAGATAGTCATAGGAAGACTCCGCGCTTAGCTTAAAACAAGGATGTCGAGGAGCTCTTCTGAAGAAAGAAACAAGACACAAAAATGTCCATTCGAGGTTTACAGATCTGAAGGCGATGCATTTCTTATCAAGAAAATGTATTCGAAGGCTATAATGGCGTACAACCAGGTAACCAAACGAGTTTTAATAAACTATTTTAAGGCGTTGGATAAGAAGGAAAATGATAGACATTGCCTTCTCCGGAGAGCTTCATGTTATCTTGCAACCGGAAATATTAATATGGCTCTATGTGACACGGATATGGCACTTTCAGAAGACCCAAACTATTATAAAGTTGAAACAAATTTTTCCAAGCAAATATATTTTTAGGCTCTTTATATTAAAGCTCAGATACTCTACAATAAAGGTGATTTTGAACATGCACTGATGTACTTTCATCGTGGACAGCAGCAGAGACCGGAATTACAGATGTTTCGACTAGGTATCCAGAAATGTGAGGAGGCCGTTGAAAATTCCTTGAAAGGTGAAATAGTTCGTACTTTCTTCATATCTTCACACAAGATTCTGCACTGTAGTCATATAAGACTCCAGGAGTTTTATTTTATGTCGTTATATGTCCGTGCACCGATTTTATATATATATATATCCAGAGCTTTATTTTATTTATAGGGGCTTGAAAGTCTTTAATCAGATTTTAGACCGATTAAAAGACATAATCTAAAAATGAAAACTTCATCTTGGTCTGTTAGTCAGGGGTGTATGTACAGAAATTTGAACAACAGCTGTTGTCACCGGCTCACTATACCTTTTAGGAGATGTTTGCGTATAGGCTCACCAGTTCAGAAGACAGAGAATGTCGACAACTACGCTGCAAACATTGTATACAAACGCAGACTTTTAACTCGCCACCTCTAAAGCACTTGTTCTGATGAGACTATGGTCTCTTCAGAGATATATTAAGAAAAACACATTAATGATCCAATATATAAGATATATTTCGGGATCAAAAAGGGATTTCAGTGACAGACACTTAATTTAGAATCTTGCATGTGCGGCTGAACCTAACACAACAACGTGTCAAATGGCGTGGATGCTTGGCTGCACACAGTCGGCTTAAGGAATTGGCTTAAACATTAAACGTCAATACCTATTGTTGAGTGCGGTATGCTATAGACTCATAATTTTGGGAATTCTTTACTGCTACAGCTATTTAAAAATGCACTCATATTTCTTCAAAAAAGTAATTACAAACATAGTACCCTATGGCAAATAACGTCTGGACATGAGAAAATGCTTCCCTAAATTGACTATTTTTTATAAAGGATAATAATATCAAGTAAAAGCAGTAAGGTTTGCAATATGCATAATAAACCAATAATCAATTCATCACCTTATTGACGTTATTTACTCTGAATTTTAAAACACGCAAAATCAGATTACTTCTGGATTATGAAGTACACTTACAATCTACTGTAACTACTTTCATCACGAAATCAACTTGCATACTACAATGAAGGTATTTTTATAAAGAGCCTTCCCAAGAGGGAAAACTCAATTCAGCATTGTCAAAACCAGGACCACTTGTTAGCGGAATATTAACATTGACAAAGTAGAAGAATGGCAGTAAGATATCGGACTACCAGTATGTCTACCAGGCTGCCATCTAACAGGAAGAAAGTGCTAGAATATGTGCATCTCAACAGGTGTTTGTAGTTGGCAGATGACTTTTACATAATATATACCACAAGGTTTCATGCTTTGAGACAGGCCACGAATGATGTTTCTCGAGCGAATCTCCGATGAGCTGCGATTTGAAACAAAATCAGTTCTGTGCTGCAATCAAGCACAACAAAAAGATATCAACTTTCATAGTGTAAGCATTTAGGAATAGCCCACCACATACACGTCAATTCTAAATACTTAACGTCGCATAGGGTCATCAGCTCCACCTCTGTAAATAAATCTAGGCCAGCTTCTAATAACACTTTTACAAGGTGCTTTAACATTCATATTTTATTTGATTTCGCATCTGACATGCTGAAATCGAGTTCCAACTAGCATTTTTCAGTGAAGATACAATACCCATTGGTTTCTGCCTAAACTTTGGCGCTTGTGACGAAGGTTAGATATTGATTTACCTATTTCAGACTGAGTATTAATACGCTGCTCTGAAGCTTGTCCTCAAAACATTTACATTAAAGTTATAGGATGTACAGGAATTTCAGTTTTTTGACCATGGCCACCGTCTCAGTATTTTCAGCGTTTAGCAGCGTCCCTAATGTAGAAGTCACATATACGGTCACAGAAAGATTAATCAGTCAGGTGAGAATACTACGAATTCACAGTGTATCAGTTGGCGGGGATATGCGCTATGCGCCTCGGACAGAATATGAAATCACTCATGAAAGTTATTGACCGCTTGTCAGCATTGTGTAGGGAAGCGCAGAAATTTTATATTTTACAGGCTATCGACAATGTTGCTGAGAAATTATTACCAGCTCTTTTCATTTCTTTTTCACTAAGCAACCGTTATGCTATATTACTAAATCAGATATTAACACTGTTTGTTTACCCTATTTCGGTCGTTAACTGCTTCTGAGATTTGTGAAAATTTGGTGATAGTTTATCTGGCTTCGCAAATACCTATACGATACCTACACAGTAATAGCACTTATTTGAGAGAGGCTAATCTTTCTCATCCTGATAACTTGTAGTTAAAAAGAGTAGTAAGGTTGGATTTAATGTCTATGTAATCTTGGATTGACTGAAGCCGTTGATGTTTGCTGATGACATACTTCAAACAAAGAAGGGAATAGCTGCTCACACCGGTTTAATTCGTATCGCTCTTAAGATCAAAGGACGACAGATTCACGCCAAAAAGTTAGATAAACTTCCCCAACTTAGTAGTCCTGTCAATGTATTGTGAGAAAATTGTATGTATGGCATTTGTAACTCCATTATGGATAAGATTTTATTTTGATAAATCACACAGTGTTACACAGTAATATTAACTGATGACGTTTCGAGCACAAATTATTGCTCATAATCATATCATTTGTAAGGTGATGTGTAAGCCTAGGAATAACTGAATCACCTGCACAGGTACTTATTATTGTCATATATAAAATTCATCTTACTTATTTGTCCTTTTTAGATCACAAAAAAGTCAAAATTGCTAGTGGAGGAGCAAAAGGCTTTGCGAAACAAATGGAGGATGTAAGTTTTGCACCATACAACCGGTCAAAAATTAACCACTCAGAATAAACCTCTTAAATACTTCATTTAAAATTATCGTATGATATAAGAGGTGTGTTTAAATTTGAAAAGAACCTACACTGATAGTCATCATACTCAGCTTCTGGATTGGATTGATCTGACGAAGGGTTTTAGCTGGTTTTAAGATTGTTTAGAGTCACTACTGTTTAATGCATTCTTAATTCGAAATGCAAATTAAGTTTTTCTTACATTCATTATCTCAACACGTTCAGTGTAACAACTCCCAGTAGGTTTTCCGATGAATTTTAAATGTCTGGATATTTACTCAGAAAAAACTAGATTGCTTAACAGCCACATATAAATACAAGGTTTGAAATCCTGGTGACATGATTCAAGTCAATAACTGAAAGCTGCTATTTGAACCAGATAAAGCCCTTTGGTGCATATAAAGTTCGTTGAAAAGTTTCTAAGTAGAAGTGATTTGTGACCAGAGACAGTCAACTAATGGCAGTTGTCAACAATCATGAATAAAGCTACAAGAAAAGTGCACAGATAAAAATTACAATGAGAATGCCCCAGACTACTAAGAAAGTGCATATTTGAAAAAATTACAGTAGTATACCTACAGAAATGAAAATGTAATTCGTGAACACTTAAGGATAATAAAACGGAATAGCACAAAAACTGCATGTGTTAAACGACTATTGCTGCTTAGTTAACTGGTCGCGAAAAGACACAGATAAATTTGTGGTCCCACCTTTGATAGGTAAATTACTTCAGATTTAATGCAAGAGTAGGTAATCTGAAAGCCACTGCCAAAAAAGAAACCAGCCTTATCTGATTTAGGTGACCAGTCAGATGACATCTAAAGTGGGGAATGAAAATAATGTAAGATTTCAGTCCTCGTAATTTTTGCTTTTCTAATGAAATGTTATAAGAACATATTAGATTACTTAGGCTAGAGTGGATGAATAGAACTATTATAGAATGGATATTTTTAAGCGAACTCTTTTACTTCTGATTGAATGGATGATGAAAATGTGAAAATGTTTTCAAAACTTCTATTTGTACAGGAAGAAAAAGCCCAAGTAATGTATTAATACTTAGATTTTGTATAAATACTTTAACTAGTTTTATTATAATTTTAATAGTGCTAGTCTGTTGTGTCTGCATGTAGTGTGAGTTTGTACACGTTTCAAATGAATTTTTGTTTTGGTTATTCCTAATGACACTAGAATACTACTTACACAGAAGCTAATTGCATGCCGTGATCCTAAAAATATGTTTGCCTTGGAGCATGAAACTATCCGCTAAATATTTCGCTTCAAGCCTAAGGTTCTGCATATAGATTTCGCAAAAATAGTTTATGCATATTCTTCCAAAAATCATAAAATGCTAACCACCCTCCTCCTGCAATTAAATATAGTACTGGTACTTGGGAATATATAACTGATGAATGATATTGCTTGTAAGAAAATGGAAACTAATCAAAGTGACAGTTGTTCGATTATTTATCCAAAGTTGCATGATTTAAAAACTTCGTTTACCAATATTAGTCTTGCGATGGTTCGGCATACAACGGCACAAGTGAGCGATATTTATAAACGAAATCTACAAATAGTATAGACATAACTAGCAATTGTTGAGATTTTTAAACATTCTCAATATAAGGCGGTTTTATAGATCATACATTCTTATATTTATGTCTGTAGGCTCGATGCCTGCGTCAGGCTGGTAGAACTTAATAATATAAATATACTAAATTTTGGAGAAGGACCAGAGTTTTCTCACTGATAGATAAAGTATACGTACTACCTATTTAGGACGAAATACGCATCCTGGATTCCACTGCTAGTCACCATCCACCAGTTACACGTACTACCAAACACAGATCCTAAGTTTCGGAAGGCTCTATCAATCTAGTCTACCAGATAATCAATCATAACATTAGTTTTTGAACCAGGAAAGTATAGTCTTCAGTGCTGTCAAGTACATTTTTCGCAGGCTAAATTAACTCTTCCATCATTTCTTCTTGAAATGTTTCAATACTTTTACGATCTCGGCTTGCAAATTCCATTGTATTCCATTGTACAGTTTATGATTTATATGGATAGTAATGGATTTCAATGTATATTTTAGTAGTTTGCAATCTTACGCGTAGATTTACACGCAGCTGTTGATTTATTTCTTTCGTAATATTGTTTAATATCTATTTTATTCCTTTGCGTTCGGAATGGAACATAAGGCTCTAGGCTTGAGCTTTGGAGTCTTAGTATTTGAGATGTTGTTAGCCAACACTCCTAACCTTCCATCCTTACAGGGCTTACTACCGGACAGAAGAAATCAAGTAGTGCGTCCACCAAGGATCAAACCTTGAACCATGTGAGCGGTCAGCGAGTATTCTACCACTGAATCATCACCAACATACAAGCCGCCCGCTGTGAGTGGGATTCAAACCCACGTGGAGATAAACACCAGGGGATATTAATTATTTACTGTAACTATTTTGTCTAATTACAATAATAGTTTTAACTGTGACAAAATGTACTCATTATTTTCCTTTGCAGTAAGGTAGTATTGTATTCATAAGTGCTTCAGATGGATAAGTGATCCATTCTCGATTGTATTAAAATTCTGATGTAAGTCTATCTAAAAATAGATTTCACCATTCAGTTTAGTTCTACTCTCACAAAACAGCACACAAATCGCAGTTTCTTTAAATTTAATTTCACAATTCATAACAGAGAGGAATTTCTCCCACTTTTAACAATTTTCAGAAAGCAAAATTACGTCAAATGGGTCAAAAATCAAAGAGAGTAACAGGTGATGCTGATACTTCGGATGGAAATCAAAGTAACCAGAGTATCCCTACTAGTTTAATTCCAAGAAATATGTCAAAAATTATGTTTGGTCCACTTTACACAGATCATGAATATTTGGAGGAATTATTAAGACAGGAAAGTAAGTAATATTATAAAATTAACTTTTTTTCCCAGTACATGATAAAGCTGTTTCATTCTAGTTTGGGAATCATCGGCAGTACGCACCCACCACCAGGTTTCGAACCCAAGACCTTCAGGTTACAAGGCAAGCTCGTATAACACTCAGCCACTGGGACCTGATCCAATAGCCAGCTCATGAATTCTAACTTCTACCAATTTGTGATTTAGCGCGACCCGAACCAATAAACCCCAGTGGGTGCGTACTGACGATGATTCCCAAACTAGGATGAAACAGCTGTCCAGTACTCCGGTGCTGGTTTTCAATGGTTCTCTAACTGATATCAATCCGTGATCAACTCGTAAAAACAAAACCAATCCTTACAAACCAACAATAGAAAATATACATTTGATTTTAAATTGTCTTAATTTCAAAGTTTATCTGCAAGACTGCTGGGCTGGTATTTTGTTTGTTTTCAATATTATTTCACCATTGAGAGAGAGTGTGTATTTTCTGGTAGTGTATGCCTTTTTTAAACATATATGGGGATTCATTGTTAGTGTATTGAAGGGAATATTGTCAATGTTATCGTTTCATATTCTTTCAATAACAGATATACACATATATATATATTCAGTATTTGGGATGTGAAAACGTGAAATACCTTACACTGAAATAATGCATGACCCTTAAATTAGCTTATAGACTCAAGGTTTTATAACTAAGCCTTTTCCATATTTCTAAATTTCGATTACTACGTACCTGTATTCCCATTGGATGATGGTGTTCCCATTGAGACTCAAACCTAGTATTTCCAACGCCAAAATGTTATCTAAAAGACTACTTAGGATTTATAGAATTTTAATTTACTTTTCAAGAAAATACACTAAGGCGAATTACTATTAAACAAGACAAGGTCAAAAGTCACTAAAAAAGAAAAATGAAACTGCTCATGTCTTATTCTCAAAAAATTTACAAATGATAATTTGCAGTTGAATGTTATAGGCAGAAGAATACCACGAATTCTCATCCTTTGCTTGCCTTATTTTTATTTTCCTAAGTATATCCCTACTATTTTTTACTCCATGACATTAACCTTAAGAAGAATAACATACGCTAAAAGACAATCAAATACTTTCTTTCCTTCCAACAAATTATGAGAAAAATATAGTTATTATTTCAGTAATTTATCTTATCTAAATCCTAACGGGTTTCTTCAGTAATGAAAGACTTCGTTTGTTCGTAGAGAATCTGTTTAAAAGATTTGTTTTTACGAGTTTGACCACGGATTGTTATCAGTAAGAGAACCATTGAAAACCAAGGAGTCCTGGATAGCTTGGTTCGAACCCCGTTGGGTGTGCACGGCCGATGATTCCCAAACTGGGATGAAACAGCTGTCCAGTACTCTGGTGCTGGTTTTCAATGGTTCGCTAACTGATGACAATATATGGTCAAACTCGTAAAAGCAAATCTAATCCTTACAAACCAACTCTTGAAAACTATTTAAAAGAAATAAATGACCTTAGAGATGAGAAGTAAGCACTTTTATGTTGTTATTAGTGATAGTTATTTTACTATTTCTTAATAATGCAATTTATAATGGTAACAATATTAACTTCCTGAAATATCGAGTACACAAAAATGAGTAAGTCTACATAAAATAGGTAGCATAATTTATTACTACTGTTGGAATATGAATAATTAAAGTAGCAATGTTAAAAAATATTGGTATTTTAAATCCTATGCTTAGTCTTTATTAATGAATATGATTCAATAAAAAATATCCAGGTAGAATATCGTATGTTATTTCCCGGCATTTTAAATCAAATCAAGAATTTAGCAAATATGTCCTACTCCCACCAGTATCATTTTTTAATTTCTGCTTAGATCTCCAATGACCAGTGGGAAATTATGACTGATAAGTATGTTTACCTGGACGAGCAGTTAAAAAGCTGAATAAACAGTGATTTTCAATAATATTTTTATTCCTTCACGTTCCCAGTGGAACATTGAGCTTCAAGCTACAGGATTGAAGTTTCTGTAGAAATGTTTATTTTAACAGGATGGGGTTACTAGCCTCATGCCAAACCTTTCCTCTTTACTAGCTTTATTACTGGCTTAGCGAGGTAAAGGAGCAGGTTAGCCTGGGATCAAACCCTGGACCATGTGCATGGTCGGCGAGCGCCCTAACCACTGTGCCACCGACGCACAGTAATAATAATAATACTAGCTTCATTCCAGAAGATATGTTAATGCATGTACAGAATTTTCAGCATATTTAAATTGCAAAATATCTCCTCTTCCTAAGGAATTTCCAAGTAAAATGGTATTCGGAAGTACGTCGTGTAACGCTGTGTTGTTCCATCTGAAGCAATATCCAAATGTCTTCAATGATTTATACTCATTTCGGTTGAGAAGTACCGTGCATTACAGTAAACTAAAACTGTGTGTAAGTTCATGCAAGGATTCAAAAACAGAGTTAGATGATTAAAACAATAAGAAATGAAGATGAGTTTATATATTATACCAAATGGAAATTTAGGTAGCACAGTGATTTAGACAGGCTTTCAGAGTTTAATGTATTAAACAGACTCAATGGGATCTTATTTTCAATCAGTAAATCACCAGAAGGAATTTTATACGTAATTTATTCACCGTGCTTATCAGTGTATCAATATTATTGAATAAATGTTGTTCAGTAGTCGGTAGTACAGCGGTTAGGATGCTCGTTGACCATGCACATGGTCCGGCTTCAATCTCCAGCCGACGAACTCCTGTACCTCGCTAAGCCAGTAATAGAACTGGCAAACAGAGAAGGTTGGGCATGAGGCTTGCAACCCCATCCTGTTAAAATAAACACTTCTACAGAAACTTCAAGCTGGCTCTAGCTTGAAGCCCTTTGTTTCACTGGGAACGTGAAGGAATAAAAAGTTGTCTTATATCACCCATAGTGATTTAACTTTACATTCGTTCAACTAATAGGTATTTGATGGAAGTCAGTTATAATTTCTAAAAGTCATACTAAGGATCGTTTTATAAATAATTTATGTAAGCAGATATATAACACAGCAATATAGTATTGAAGATGAAATCTGTTCTAGAACTTGGAATCTTTTCAAATGTTAGTTTCCAGAGATTTACTTGATCACGAATTGATTTCAATTATAGAACCTTTGAAAACAAGGGACTACTGGACATCTGTACTGTCTTCACCAGAGCAAACCCACTGATCACCAACACTTGAAAATTAATCTAGCACTCATAAGTGATTGACTACTGCATACAGTTGCCTGAAGTTCTAGTGGAAAGTCGTAACCAGCTAGATCCATTAAGTTAGGCGTGAGGACAGATACTCACCGATGACATTGGCTGGCGGTGGTGCTATGTGTCGCGAAATGGCAGAAGTAAGAATTTATGGGCCACTGGATTCTGTGCCATGGAATGAATAATCAAGGAGCTGCACTCGTAAACTGAATGTCACGCGTTCGATTCCTCACAGTGTTATGAGTTCTTGTTTCCGAAGAGTCCCAAATCAGGACGAAATAGTTGACCACTACAGCAGGGGTTTCAGTGGTTCTCTAAGTGAAGTCACTTCGTGATCAGGCTTGAGACCTCAGAATATGTCCTGCCGTAAAACTAAATGACTGAACTACGAAAATATCAATCAAACAGGAAAGTGTCTAACGAGAAATGATTTAGCGGCAAAATAGTAGTTGTTTAGTAATAGTTATTGAGCAACTGTTCAACTGGCAGTGATCTCTAAGGAGATGCCCTTAGAATATCCCTTTTAATTTAATGTTAATTTAACTAGTACAGATTAGTTATGTCTAAACAGAAGTTCAGACTAAGCTTCTTCAGTGTTCTAAATTATTAGCTATGTACTTTTTAAATAAGTTCCCCAACTACTCTTTAGAAAGCAAATATGTTAAACATTCATAGAATTGTTACTCCAGATATTTCTTTTTAAAATACACTAAATTCTTCCGTTTCTGTCATCTTCAGTTTCAGTAGTATTTTTGACGACACTGGTTAGTTAGAAGTGTCCTCATTTTTTATGTTTATTTCGTAATTATGCTAAATACAAGACTGACTGTTAGGTTATACAAATACATTAGAATAAGTGTGCCCAGATGTCTATTCACCCATGATTCAATGTGTTTGACTGACTCAGAAATATGTATTATACCGTCAGTCAATAACAATATCACTAAATGTTTCGTCACATGTAAAGCTGTTCGTCTGGACTCACAACACATTTATTTTACAGTAAACAGTTGGTCAGATACAGGTTATGTGGATGCTGAAACCTTTATTTGGTTCAGCCATTTGATTAAGTCTTAAAGTGATGAATCTAAGACATTTGTTTAGTTTTCTAGTGCCATTGACTAATTATCGAAATCCTATCATGCGAATGCGTGTTACAGCAAACATTGCAAATTCCCAGCATTTTCTAAGTTAGCCATCTTCTGTCTTGTCTAAATTCTTATTTTACATTAGTTTAGGTGACTGCTATCTACAGCAGACAGTTTATCAAAGATAAGGCTTGTTATGGGTGTTTGAATAGGTTCGGTCCAAAAAGTGGAATAAATTACATAGATAAGATCTGTTTAGGTGAAATAGTATAGCCTGATTTTACTCAAAAAATGAAATGACACTCCAAATTTTGATTTTATAATCATTCAATCGTTCATTAAGGAAAGTGATAGTGGATTTTAGAGAATTCATTAGACACTTTTTTGAATAACAAAATAAAGCTTATAATTTAAAGGATTCTACAAAAGTAACTAAGAATCATATAATCTTTGAAAATAACCATCTTACTAAATCAAAGCTGGAATGAAGAATGATGTCATTTGGACTATAATTTTTAATTGTAATTTATGTTTTTTATTGTTTTATTTGACCTCCATATGTATAAAGCAGTAGTAAAATCAAAATATGTAAATGTTGCCTAGGTGATGAAAACTGATGTTCCTGAAGCTATGAAATAGGTTTCGCTATTTTAGTAAATACCTTTTATGCATTTGTAACACTACAATTTTCGTGATATTCACTTTTAAACTGTTCGTCATTCCAAGGAAACAAAAGTTTTAGCCAGCCTTTAGTGAATAACCATGTTAAATGGTGAATTTTATTTCTGTTTTTATTTTATTTTATTTTATTCTCAAGCACTCATAGCTAATGAGGTCATCTGGCTATCTGTAGGTAAATTTAGTATACCATATCTCCAATGATTTATTTGCACATCATTCGCAAACTGGTCGAATATCACCACATTCGACAGCTTGCTGCATTTTCCACTGTGTTTCTAACGTTCTTATTACAGTTTTGTTCTTCGGTTGCTTTCTCTAGTGTCCAAAACATATTGTTGCTTTCCTGAATTTGTTTGCTGATATACTACTTATGTCTAATTATAAGTAGCACTGAACACACTGGTATTTCTGCGTTCCTGCTGTAAAATCAAAGGGTTTTATTCTCCGTGGGTAGCAATGAGCGTCAAAAAGGGATAACACAATCAGCTGCTAAAATCAGCTAAAACGACACTATCCTACTTAAAATATAGTGTTTGTGATTGTTCTATATTTTTAGCTGCACATAAATGGAAAACAGCCAATTCTGAAGAAGTACGGAATCTAGCTCGTGATGGTATCGCATATTTAGATGAGAGATACAAATTCTGGCATCAAGAGAAACCTGTTTATGCTCGAACTAAGGCTAGACGAATAAAAGTGCTAGCAAACTCTCAATTTTCAAAAAGATCGAAATTTCCAGGAGTTAAGAGTGTTCTAGAAAAATTACACAAAATCGACAATTGTAAGTTAAATTATTATGTGATGTCAAATGTTTTTGTTAAAACTATGATTATTTCTCTATGAAATCACTTGTGTACTCATCACTTCCATCGACTATATTTATTAGAACTGTTAAACGACAAGTGAATTAGTGGAATTTTATATTGCATTTAAATGTTGAAAAGAATTATTGTGTCGTTAGATTTCATTGCACTTATTACTCTATATTTAATATTCCTAATCTTATATTGTTATTTGAGACAACATAAAAACCAAATTATTACAGTTTCTCTGCTGAAAAATAACTTCTCAATTAATAGTTGTTTTAATTTGTTATTCTGATCAACCATGTTTTATTTTGCTGTCTTTTTTCAATGAACACCTCCCTAGTTATGTAAAAGTATATGGTTTCGTCGAATAATTTGTAGCACTCACTTCACAACGCTATTTTATTGCCCGATTGACGTGAACATTTTGTGAAGCTTTTTTGTACACTTCGGTTATATACAGTTGGAAGATGTCCTAGTTACTAAATCGGATATATATATATATTGTGAAGTTACATCGATTTAGATGGCTAGGACATGTGTTACGCATGCCTAGCCATCGCCTTCTTTGACAAGCAATATTAACTGACATACGATCAAGTTGGAAAAGAGCTAGCGGAGGTCAAACCAAAACTTGGAATCAGTCACTGAAATCCCTGATAGTCAGTTTGAGCCACATTGGAAATCATATATAGCTTGATTGTGGTCCTCGAAAGTTCTAAGGACTTATGGCTGGAGACTGCTGGTGATATGGCTCAAAATCGTTCTCACTGTTTGTGAACTCCCTAACTCATAAAATCATAATGTTTCCCAGGTTACTGTTCTTTCTTCCTCACATTTCTACTAATAATTTTTCTTACATCCGAGACTGCATATTCAGAAGAGTATGGCGTGATATAATCTCAAATATGGTCTCAAACTGTGCACACCATTAATTAAGAGAAAACATTGATTAGTTGGAGCATTTCACCATGAGTTGATATTAGTTAGAGAATCATCAGAAAATCTAGGAGTACTGGAAAACTGTTTGGTCCTAGTTTTGGACTCTTTAGCGATATGCACTCATCGGGGTCTGAACCCAGGACCTTCTGGTTACAAGGTGAGCTCGTAGACCATTAAGCCCCTGAGACCCGATCCAATAGCCAACCAGTGAATTCTAACTTTCGTCAATTAGCGACATAGCACAACCACTTAGCGATGTCCCTAAAAACCAATACTTGAAAAATGATCTGATGTTCATTAGTGACTGGCCCTATTCAGCTAGTTACATGGGGTTCTAGTGGAAAACCGTAACAGTAGGGTATAGCGAGTTGAAGGTGAGGACAGTTACTAATCGAAGAAGACATTGTGAAGTGGTCACGCTATGTCGTGAGTTGGCAGAAGTTAGGATTCATAGGCTGGCCTCTAGATTGGGTCGCAGTTGGTTAGTAGTCTACGAGCTCGCCTTGTAACCAGAAGGTCCTGGGTTCAGACCCCGGTGAGTGTGTATCGCTGAAGAGTCCAAAACTAGGACCAAGCAGCTGTCCAGTACTCCTAGATTTTCTGATGGTTCTCTAACCGATATCAGCTCATGATGGAATCCTCCAACCAATCAAACGAAATCCCTACAAATCAATACTTGAGGAAACTTTGAGTTTGTTAATAAAATATAATTAGGCCTCAGGTGGTTTCAAAAAAGCCTTTACTTTGGGGGATTCGAAGTTTATTTCATACTTGTTGACACATTCATACTACTGAATAAATGTCCTGGGTACATGAGAAAGAACTATTTGTTAGAAAGATATCCAAAAGAAATCAAATTTGTGAAAAGGGTATTTCTAATTTTTCTTTCTCAACTGTAATTATTTCCGAAAATCTTTAAACATGTCTCCGTCTTAAAATGAAGTCCATAAAGGGTAAAGTCAAGCATTAACTTTTAAAATGTCCCAGTTTTGCCATGATTACTATAGTTTTTTATCACTTGCGTGATTATTACGACTATGCGAGTTTCAAAATCTTCTGTCCATTTACCATACAATTTTTGCATAATTTCTCATCTATCTTTGTTACGTCACAAGTGCTAATGGTGCACTTTTTGTTCATATTAAAACCATTAATAAGAGGAAACCCTAATCACACTCACATTCAGGTAACGCAGAGACATTATTGCCAAGCAGCAGCCAATGAACCACTGAGGAAGTGCTTATGCGCTCATTCGATATTTTGTGTCGTCATTTGAACTACTAGTTAGTAGTATGTCATGCACGTTTGAAAATATTTCACATCTGCATTCCAGTTGTACATTTCTAAGTGTTAAGGTGCCATGAAGGAGCAGTAAGGTGTACCATTTCAAATGTATTTCCGAAATGTGACAGAATATCAGCTATCTAAAATGTTTCTAAAACAACTACTATATTTAAAACAAATTAGTTTCGAAATTCTGGATATTGGAGGTTGAAAAATTCTGTGAAGTCCATTTTACTACCAAAAAAACAACTCAAAACATGTTAATTAACTGTTCTAAACTCCTTCTATTTGCGAATTTTTACGTAATAATAGTGATTGGATACATAAGTTTAATATATTTCGGGATTATGTTAGTTAGCAGCAGCAGAAATTGTAGGTTGCAAGCAGATCTTAATTGACTGACTACACCATCAAGATAGGTGGATGCTTTTAATCTCTAAGGTGTTAGACAAGCATTATTTATTCAGGTCTTGAAAGCTTACGAAAGAAAACAATGCCGTAAAACAGTATTCAAGCATGAACAGGCCAACTGTTTCGAATAACTTTAAGGAAAGATTTACATCAGCAGCGATAAATGAGAAGTAAATAATTTCAGGATTATAAATACACCACCTTATTAAATTGGTGAGATACGTACGCGTTTGTTGAAGTAGCATTAATCTGCAAACAATTGTGTGATGAATGTTAACTAGATGGTTCAATGCCTTCAGATAATTTGGGTGAATAGCCTACACTTATCTGAAGTGCTTTTATTAATAGGCAGGAACATCACAGATTGTTGGTGTACTTCCAAATCTAATGACGCTTGAATTAACACCAACGATATTACAATTCATTGACAAGTCTGATGGCATGTTTACTTCTGTGTGTTATCTACAAATGATGACAAAATTAATATTGGAACTCTTTTTTTTCTTCAGAGTCTTCCCCAATTTTTCTATCCCGTTTAAAATATGAAGCGTGGCGACCTGAAATAATACACCATGAACCTTTGTTCTTCAGTTTTATACAATGGTAAATCGGTTCACCTTGAAACCTTTGAATAATGCTAAGTATTCACTAGTTAGAGATTTTTCACACATCAAGAATAAACGAATAACCATAATAATAGAACTTCTTTGACCTCTTTGTATATTTCATGTTTTAAAATCATTTTCTCAAATCACAGCGTATAGAATGTCATATATTTATGTCCACATTGTTCAATTATTCGGCGCGCAATGAATCTGCTAAACTGTTGCCTAAATTGCTTAGTTTTGTCACTGGTGTGACAATGAACCAATTCCTCCAGGCACCAAGCTAAGACACTTAGTGTCGCAGTACACTATGAATTACAGTTGGTTGGTTGGAGACAACCAACGAGATGGTGTGAGTTAAACACCTTGTAGCAGATATTTTCTTCATAAAAAATTTCATTCATGTAACACAAAACGAATTTTATACCATATTAAATCTAATTTCTGATTATAATTGATTTTAATCTTCAGTACAACGCAAACATGAACATTCTTTAGCAGTGAAACACGCTCATCATCTATTAAATGAAGTTAGAGCCTGTGATGAAACACAAATTCCAAATTATCATGAAATTTTAGCCAATATTAATTCACTACTTGGACTGTCCAACTTAGAATTAGGAAACTATTCAGAAGCATTAAAAGCCTATCAAGCTGCTTATGATCTTGGAGAGAAAATCAATTTACCAGAGATTATTTCAAATTCAATGGATAATATGGGACGTGTTTATGCAAAATCAGGGGATTATGATTCAGCTGTGAAAGTGTAAGTGAATCAAACACTTTGAAAATTTAATAATTGGAGAGAATTTTCTGTAGTTGGTTTGTAAGGATTAGTTTTATTTTTACGAGTTGATCACAGATTGGTATCAGGTAGAGAACCATTGAAAACCAAGGAGTACTGGACAGCTGTTTCATCCTAGTTTGGGAATCATCGGCAGTACGCACTCACTAGGGTTCATTTGTTGGGGTCGCGCTAAATCACGAATTGGGCCATTGGGTCGGGTCCCAGGGGTTGAATGGTATACGAGCTCGCCTTATAACCGGAAGGTCATGGGTTCGAACCCCATTGAGCGCATACTGCCGATGATTCCCAAACTAGGACGAAACAGCTGCCCAGCACTCCGGTGCTGGTTTTCAATAGTTTTCTAGCTGATATCAATTCATGATCAACTCGTAAAATTAGACTAAAAGTTATTCGAATTTGTACATTTTGTATCTATATTTATGTCGGTGAATTTCATAGATACTTTGACTTGAACTGATATCTCTCCCATTTAGAAAGTTTCTAGCCCTGGAATAGTAATTGAACTGATAAGTTTCAAGTAAACAAGACTAGTGATAATATTTTAGCGGAACAAATACAAACATTTAGAAAAACGTAGCCTTTATACCGATACTACTATTTGTAATTACTCATAATATCTTCCTTGTATGTGTCCTATTAGATTTTTCTCAGTGTTATCACTTTGGCTAAGTGCTTTTCCTTCATTACTTTGACCACTGACACACAAATTATCATTTCTCCTCCGGAAGCACAACTAATGTACTACTTATCACCTATTTTTAAACAGACCAACGCAAAAGCACTAAAGATATTTATTTATGCGTACTATTTTCTCTGAGAAATTTCTAAATACTGCTGTCTATCAATAAAAGGCCCACGAAATAAGTATAAATTAGCTCTAGGGCATTTGGCATACATTCAATTTTTAAATGCACCGCTACCTGGTAATGTCAGTCAGAGCTTAGATAAAGACTCGTAAACAGAAAAGTTACCGGAATTCTTTCTTTCACCAGAATGACATTTTTGGTTCATATTTGGGTAAGAGAGATGAAAAGAAGGATTTTAAAAAACTCACTCATCAGATTAGTGATTTCATTTTCTTGACCAGTCATTGTGACAAACTTTCAGTCAGTTCGACAACAGTTACAGTGAACAAACTAATAAAATTTGCCAGCTTTTCACTGTTAAGATGAATTTAAACATACATACATACAAAGATCTCTGGGAGTAAACCAACCAGGAACCGATTGTGAAACAAATAGGCAGGAACAAATGGAGATGGATTGGCTGGCCATACTCTGAGGAAACCATCAAGTGACATCACTAGACAAGCCATTGGTCGAGTGGAACCCGAAAGGAAAGCGGCGAGTTGGTCGTCCAAAGGTGACTTGGAGGAGGTCATATGAAAAAGAGATGAAAGCATGTGGGCAGATCTGGAGCCAGGTGAAGACTCTAGCAGAGAACCGAACGCAATGGAGACGCACGGCTGAAGCCGTATGTTCCTCTAGGAATTAAAGGAAACAATAATAATATAATAATAAACATACATTGAAATATTCATCGAAGATACTAAAGACTTTGGTAAACAGATGGAAATATTTTCCTAGTACTAAATTAATGTACTTTTGATGGCCGAATGATTTAAGTCTTCCCGTCATGATATCATCGTAATCACTAGTACTACCAACGGAAGAAGGTGTAGTAGTCAATAAACCTCCAAGGACAATAAACTGCAAACAAGATTAACTAAGAACACACTTATCAAATTAGATTACTATGTTGAAGCATGCAAATTCACTGAATAAAAATGGAGTATGACGATACTACTTTTTTTTAAATTTGAAAAATGAAATATAATCCTTTGACCTGTATCTTTTTTTCAGATGGGAAGAGAAACTTGAAAAGTGCACCGATGATTTAGATAAAGTATGGCTCTGTTATGAATTAGGTCGATGTTATTTAGAATTACAAAAACCACAAAAATCTTTTGAATACGGTGAGAAAGCAATGCATATAGCAAGTGCTATGGAGGATAAACCATGGCAGTTGAATATCAATGTTTTGATTGGACAATCAAATTTACAATTAAAAAAGCGTACTGAAGCTCAAGATGCTTTTAACAAAGCCTATGATCTAGCTAAAGTAAGTACACATGGAAATAGTGCAGTACTTACACATTCACTAAAGTGGAAAAAGAAACACATCCGGAGTGGCTGTTTATAATTTACAGGTACTACACCGAACATCAGAATGATAGAGGGAGATTTATTAAATGCAATTTAGAATAATAAAATAATCTCTGTATCAAAATGTTGAAGAGGTGTCATCACTACTTTCTTCTCACCAACTGAATTCAGTTATAGAAACTGCATAGTTGAATTATATAGTCAGTGACTTTGAGACTAATATTAAATGCTTCTTTTTCAACACCAGTTTCTTCCATTCTTTGTCTAATATGGTCAGTATAGACATGTGGTATTTACATATAAGTAAAACATGCCTTATTAACCTTTGAAGTATGCACTACACTTCACACAGTACTGAAAATGTGAAGATAAACTGATATAAACCGCTTGTATCAGATTGCTTGCATCTCACTAAACTATTACCCAATTTAGTTTTTAGGAATGCCTACTGTTTAAGGAGCACAGTAAGACTATAAGTTTCCAGGCCGTAGGTGTTACGAACTTCCTGGAATAATTTCAGCGCCGAGTCAGACTGATTTATTATAAATTATTTAAATAAATCCCAGAGTGTTAAGAATAAAAATCCGAATAAATCTGCTGAAGAAGCTGTGGCTTACACAGAGAAACGTTCAGAAAAATCATGTTTTGATTTTCTTAACACGCTGGGATTAATTTACACAGTAAGACTGTTTAGGAAAGTGAAGTAATATAATGCTCTTAGTCATTCGAAGTGAAAACAAATTCATTTAAGTTCTAAAAGTCAAAGAAACTTCCGTGTCAAACAGTTTATTGAGATGATAACTAGACTTATTTTAAAGCTATGAGTACCGTTTTGTAATTAACAATGAACAGAAATAGGTTTCATAAAACTCATGTCTCGTCTAAACCTTATTGGATGAATTCATTCATATATATGCCAGTCCACCTTATTAGTTACAAATCACATTTTACTATTTTAGGCATTTGAATGAATGAACCTAATAATAATATCAGTATAGGTGTATCCTCATTTTTCTTTATTCTGCTAGAAATAGTCTGTAATATGCACTTAACAATTATTTTTATAATATTTATAGTTTGATCGAAAGGTCAAGTTTTAAAGTTTTTATTATTTCTTATCTCATGTCGAATAGGAACTTAAAGCTCGTGATGCTGAAAAGGCTATCTTAGAGGTTATCGATGAACTACAAAGCACTGGTAGAGAGATCGACACAGACGCATTCACTGATACTGAAGAAAATGTGGCCTCAGAAGGTGAGACTTACTTCAATGTAATTTGTCTTCTCTCGTTGATCTAAAGTAACAAAGGTTTGCATGAATACTCTATTCTCATGTCAGGTACTTTTGGTGAGATAGTTAATCTGTTTTCGGAATTTATTTTAGACTCAGCTGTTACAAAAATACCAAACATTTTCTCTTAGTCGTTACTAGAAGGTGTACATAAAGAAAGTTTAGTGAAAAGGATCTCATTGCATAACTAGTATCTTGATTTCAGTCGTAACTGTTTACAAAATTAACCAATATAAAATGAAATAAAGTGTGTTTCTACCATTATTGCTAAGTAATTTATATGAATTTACAAATGCATCTATTGAAGTATCGGTTAGTCAATAAATTTACAGAGTGATGTATCCGGAATTACAACTCAATTCCTTCCGAACCGACGGTGAATGTGAATATCTAAATACTGCAGAAAATGTATTGTAAAAACGAATGCTTACTCATGAGTAGGTTCACTAGTATTACGAAAATAGAGGCACAAAGTCAATGCCACACTTTGTAGCTTCATTCTAAGATAATGTTGATTTGAAATAAACAAGACGAATAAGCATATCTTGAATCCACCGTATTGCCTAGTTTGGATTTCGTAGTATTTTTGGTCAGTTAAGGAAAAGAAAACACTAAGTTACACAACAATTATATGATTTCATGCAATCCATCGACCAATTTCAAAAAAGACTTGATCTGCACATGAATTTACCAACATTGGTGATTACAATGTACCTAGAAAATGTTTATGGGAAAAATTACGCGGTGAAAGAATGTCAATAACCGGCTGAAATTTTATATGCGATCCATCCTATTATATGATTCCGAGTGACTGCATTTAATGGTGTTGCTGAGTCTTCTACTACATTACTCATTTTACTAGGGACTGTTACCATAGATGTAGTTAAAAATCTCTTGTTTGAGTTACTTAACTAACTCCTATGCAGTAGTTCGATCTGTGCCTCTGACCTCATAATCATTGCTTTGAATTCTTTGAACTATATTATGTGTTTATTGGGTTTACAGGATTCTTTGCCTCAGGGGATTCCCAAGTTCGAAACCTGTTTTAGTCTTGTTAAAAATCTAGTCGGCGGTGTTAAGTTGTCTTCGCTATTTTGTGTCAGCATGAAAATACTTAATTCTTACTTCCTGACAGCGATATTTAAGTGCTTAAAACAAGTGTCTGCCACAACGCTTCTTACCTAATTTCCTTAGTTTTCAGGAGTTTATGATCACGTTTGCAAGAGAATTCAAAAAGAAGGTCATTCTAATACGTTTTATGCTTTAACTTCTGTTTTCTGGCTTACTAGTCAGCTTTTGATGTCCTATTAAGCAGACAATTTACTAAGTGTATTTCGATCAGCTCGAAATAGAAGCACATGTAGTTTAAGAATCTTATAACATAGACACTAATGTCTAAGACACCATCTTCTTAATGTTATGCTCTGCAAACCAACATAGCTAATTCTACTTTGATTGGACACTGATAACTAGTGTGATGTGTCTAGTCCTTTCTTTGGTGCAGACTGGATTCTATCAGTCAGGTTCGCAATGTGGCCACCGTGCCACTAGATGGCTCGCCATCACAGTGCACATTGATTTGATGATATTAGATGGTTGGAGGCAATTGGCCATAGGAAGCCTTGGACCTAGGTTTCTTGCTAGTTGGCACTCATCAGCAAGGCGTATCTGCAACCTTGAAGGAATTCATGTCCCTTCTGAGATTTGAACCCGCGTCACCCAGTGCTGTAACAACAACAACAACGAAAAGCAGTACATCTTTTAACCTAACAGAAATCCGCCTGTAAAAGAGTCTTAAATCTGCTTTGTTCATTGGTGAAATCGGAGGATTCGTCAGTAAGCTGTTTGTTCACAGAAGTATATCAATCTCTTGCTTGAAGTCTGTCTTTACCTCCTGAAATCAGCTGTGTGCGAAATGTCATACCACATATTTGACTGAATACGTTTCATTACTGATTGAGTTTTTTTTTGCTCAACAGACCCTTGTACTGATTATCACACAGTTACCACCTTACATACGTAAACTGACTTCCTCTTAAGACTGTTAAGTATATCTGATGATAAGCCTTTTGTAGAAAATAGATACCTTCTTCTGTAATTTATTTTCCCGTTAAAATTTTCCCGTTGTACTAAATCATGTTCCTACTATTCATGGCTTTTAATTAAAGGAATAGAAACTGCTGTACCTCTAAGATTTCTTCACATGAATGTTTATCTCAATTTTTAGTATCATTTCTCTGTCGTGAACTTTTCTTTTCTTCAATTTACACTTCTTAAGTGTTCATTTGTCTAAGCTGCTTAGTTTAAAAGTCTAATACTATAAAAGGTTTTGTGGCTCTTGACAGTGATTTGAAATATTTCACCTTCTATATCTCTGCAACTAAACGACTAACTGTGATCACCGAATTCCCTGCTCTCCCAAAACACACTTGACATGAGTTATATGTGTGTAGCCACTTATCTATCCTTGTAAATTTCAAACTTTTCATAGCTACTGAGAAGCTAAGAGATAATATATGATATCATTTTGAACTTTACTGCTCACAATTTTCTCTCATTTAAAATTTATCTATGATATGTAATGCATAAACGCGATGTTTTTTTTTCTGTTTTTTTTAAAAAAAAAGAATTAACAACTCCACGAAGTAAACCACCGTCAACAGACCATCAGAAAATACAGTCCACTGAAGCACAGGAAGAGATTAATCTAAGCAGGGAATAAGTGTCCATCTAATGAAACGGTTTTTTTCTCTCCAAAAAACAATCATGTCAATGATTTCATTAAAAAGTTTCCTCTCTTATTCTCATATAAATATGTTATATTGCCTTCTTCCTATTTATGACAGATTATGAATTATGATTGAGTTAAAAATTCAAATAAAACTTGTAGTTTTGTGAATATTATGCTTATTTTTAAAATGTATTGCTCTTCTTCTGTGGGTTTTGAAATGGTCAGATACACACTACGTTTTTAGGGGAAAGAGATAAGTAGGATGAGTAATATAATCAAGCAGGAACATATTGTTTTGTGGCCCATTTTATCAACTCTGTGTATCTGTTCCCAAAACACAATAGATTAGTTATACAGTAGTAATCCGATTGCCTTGATAATTTATCAAGATACAATTTATTCATGTGTATAAAAAGTGTTTGAAACCAACGAATTTCATGTATTTAGATAGCAGAGTGTATCCAATGGAATACACTTATCTATGGTCGAAAAATTATTTTCATATGAAATTATAGAAATCCCTCCAGCATTCCATAAAAGGATGATTTTCCAATGTACAGTGATACAGAATTCTCTGTCTGCATATGACATATTGAATGCAGTTTATTTCTCATTATTATATCATCTCGAATTATCCTTCACCATGATATTCAGAATTTTATTCTGATGTATCAATATTCATATGCATATATTTGGGCTTCGGCTAAATTCAGTTTTGAAACTGAACGGAATGACTTTACCTGGTTTATGGTGAATGTCACTTCAATCATAGATGTATGTTATATCTCACTTGGGACTCGTCGTCTGGATGCACCTGCATGTCTAGTAGGTGATGAAAAATTCAAAAGTAGTAATTCCATCAGATAAATGGGACTAACATTCAGTAACTTAGGTGTATAGTGTCTAAAAATGAGTTAAAATACCCAGTGACAACCATGAAAGCTGAAAACTAGCACCGGTCTATTCTCATATAAGCAGGCTGCATTTCATTTTTCTGATTGCATTGACATCCTTGAGTACAGTAAGGGGATTAGTGCTGTACTGTCTACCAATTATTATTGGATGCCCTCAAGATAGAGTAGAAGAGTTTCATGTACACCGGATTTTCCTGGTTGGAACTTGACTTCCAGGGGAAGGGGGCTAGTAGATACCGTCCTTTTCAACTTGTGTGCAAACAATGAACAAAAGCCTTTTATGTAACACGTAGCTCAATCATCTCATTTGATCAGGATTTCTCAACTTGTCGGCTGAATCACATTATTTACCCAAGCATACATGTTTGATCATTTAGGCTATTTGTGTAGTGGTCCTTCTGAATGTAGACGGTGTTACACGGACAACAGTGGTCAAATATCTTGAGACCTCATATATTTTTAATTTCCAGTAGTTCTTTCAAAGATCTGTATGAGACAAAGTGCATCGATTAATTGTACCTATAGTGCTGAACATACAGTGAAACAACTCACCTGTCCTATAGTTATCATAAATTATCTGAATTAAAACAAGCAGTTCTTATTCACACCGAGATTCTGTTAATCACTGACTCATATAAGCACACCTGAGTTCATTCACTTCACTTCTAAAGCCCAAAGTAACTATCTACCCCTAAATGTGTGGTCAGCATTTATATTCCATATCATTATATATTCTGTGTACGTAAAACAGGTTTTTTATCCCATGAATGCCAATCCATGTAAGTTCAAACAAGAGTAATGAGTGATGAGTGCCAACTAGCACGAAACCTAGGTCCAAGGCTTCCTGTCGATTGCCTCCAACCATCTAATACCAACAATTCACAGTGCACCGTAATGGCGAGCCACCTAGCATGGTGGCCACATTGCAAACATGACTGATAGAATTCAGTCTGCACCGAAGATAGGACTAGACACATTACACTAGTTACTTACTAGTGTGTAATCAAAAATATCCACTACAGTCCTACAGGAGGTCAGTCGCGAGCCTGAATAGCTCAGTGGTAACGTCTCCGACTGCAGCACTGAGTGATGCGGGTTCGAATCTCAGAAGGGACATGAATTCCTTCAAGGTTGCAGATACGCCTTGCTGATGACTGTCAACCAGCACGAAACCTAGATGAAGCAAGGCTACCTGCAGATTGCCTCTAACCATCTAATACCAACAAGAGTAATAGTTCACTGAGCCAGTGAGTAGTCCAGTGATAAAGGTATGCAGGAAAATCAATTGGTCAAAAATTATCTCGCATATTATACTAAATGAAAACCTCCAAGCGCAATTAAAAGTAAGATCTCGTAAAACCTGTTTATTAATCAGTTCAGTTTTGTGGAAAATGGTATCACAGAATCGAATATTCAACACAGTTGAATCTCATTGTAATTTCCAAAGAGATACATAGGATAAATTGCTTCTGTATTTGCCTGTTTCCGTGTATCGTTCCCAGAGTAAATGTTTGATTTGCAAGTACATTCTCAGACCGGAAACTTGCTTTTCTGCCCTTGTGCGTCGGTGGCACAATGGTTGGGACTCTCGCCGACCATGCATATGGTCCGGGGTTCGATCCCTTGTCGACGCACACCCGATATCTATGGTCGGCCTGTAAAATTTGGGCTACCGATATCCATGCTGAAAATTCCATACTTGTACTGAAAATACGGTGTGGCATCAAGCTGTAATAAAAAATTGTTATCTCTTAAGCATTTTGTTTCATACTGAAATGGTGGTGCAATTAGGAATCATGATCAGTCAAAAAGGATAACTATGAATAACTATCCTGAATCGAATAATTGTTTTAAACTAACTGTTGTGGGCTATTCTCTTCAGTGTTCCACTAACCAACCGGAATAGTTAAAGCCTACGGTCTGATTTTTTGGTATGTTATCTTATGAATACTTTATAACTTATTTTCATCGCACCGTCACTCTTCCCTAAATAGCCCCAGTTTTACATTAACAAAGGATGTTTTCACAAATATTCACAGAGACAGTCAAAACCTGTCTCCACGTTATTATTCATATTGTTGGGTCCATTGTGAGACAAAGGACTGATTTCTTATATGCATTTAGCCAACAAAAGTCTGTGATAGAAAGAAATTTTCCCAGTGTGAACTTGAAAAACAAGTGCTTACCTTCATTCCAAATAATGAATTTTCTCCATTCCCGCAAATGTTGATGTTAAAAAGTAAACCGCTTGATACCACATGAGAATACACAAAGTGTATGCCATATACTTCCATTATGGGTAAATTTTATTTTGATAGAGTCTCACAGTGTTATGCAGTAATATTTACTGATGACGTTTCGAGCACAATTTATTGCTCATAATCGTATCATAATCACAAATGCTTGATAACATGAGGTAGATAAGTAGTAATGAATGAATAAGAGTAAAACAATTCATTTAAATTATTTATCAAAGTCTGAATAGTCAACTTATGAAGTTAATAATGATACTAATGAACAAATTAACAGAGAAGCTACACATTCTGTGAATGATTCCTTTGCAGTAAATAAACAATTGGAATGTGCATTCAGACAACCATGACTTAGCTATGTACCATTGACTGGTTAACTTGAGTAGTCGGTTAACATCCACATCGACCAGTAGCGCTTGCAAACTAGACCGGTGATATAGGCGCCGAACGGCCGTTTGCGAACTCGATCCAGCCATGATTCTACTAATTTACTGACATAACTGAATGTTCAGTGTTTTTAAATAACGCGAAGTGTTATAACTATTATTAAACTATTATTTTGGAGTGTTAGTTTATAGGACTTGATTTATTTCCAATCTGATCACTGGGTGAAATCAGTTCGAGAAGTACTGAGAACCAAGGAGGGCTAAACACCCGTCTCATCCTGGCTTAAGGACTCTTCACAAGTGTGCACATATGAACCCACGAGCGATTAAGCCCAGGACCTTCAGGTTAGGAGGCTAACATGTTTACCATTCAACGAATGGGACGGAATCCCATAGTCCATGAATCCCAACTTCTACCAATTTATGATTGTACCGCAACTGCCAGCCGATGTCATTAGTGAGTAATTGTCCTCATACCCAGCCTGAGGATGCCAATGATCACGACTTCTCATTAGCACTTTAGGTAACTTCGTTAGATGTCCAGCTCTCCGTTAGCATTAGACTAATTTTCAAGTATTAGTTTGTGTTGATTTGATTCGTTTCCAGTTTGATCACAGAGAATAGAAAATTTATTATCTAACGCTTTCACCTTATTAGCAGCTATATCCGTTCTAGAAAAAAACTTATGTGAACGAGTGGAAAAAACACAGGGATAATAACAGTGCCAAACCCTTGAGATACATGAGCTGTACTTAGATAATGAATGTCCTCATTCAGTAATTCATAAGTGAAAGCCGAAAATTAACCTGTAACCGAAAACAACTTTTATTAGAAGAAGCTACTCTATACACACGCACGTTTTACATGTATAGAAATAACTTAAGTCAAAAATAAAGATAGTTCACTGGCTTCATTATGCACAAGCTTATCAAACAGCTGTATCATTTCCACAAAAGGGAACGAAATTTTATTCGAATCATAGTCATACACATACACCAGTTGCTAATGTCTTGAAATGTTGACATTTGGTGCAGTTTATATTAAATAAAATGACATGCCAACATAGAAAACCTTGGAGAAAAGATGAGTCAGTTCAGGTTCTCACAATCTGGTAGACAAGAATAACGTAAAATAAAACTGACAAAAACGGAATAATAGTAATGATACACTAGTCTTAAAAGTAATTGCCTCAGTTAGTAAAATAACCAAACTGCGTCCATGACTCATCAAAAAATACCTACTATCATTCTTCTCCGATGTTATTCTTAAATAAATTTCAACAGTGAGCTAAGATTTGATTCACTATTTAATGCGATAAAAATGAGCATTTTCAAAGGCCAACTTAAATTCACTATCATAATTTATAGGCGGAACTTTTAAATTCAAATATATAAACGAACATAAGTTTAGTGTCCCATATACTTCATTGTTTAAACAAACTTCAATCTTTTTGAATACAAGCGGATTATTTAAATTCACCAAATGAGTCACATAAACGAACTGATCGGTTCTATCCTTTTTAATATTATTTATAAAAATAACTTACCATTGTCTTAATAATAATTGTAGTAATGATAGTGGTTCATTCATATCTATGACAGCCAGTATACTGAAGAGTAGAACA